AGCTGTTTCTGAGAATGAGATGAGGGAAAAATCATTGTTCGAAAAATCTTCTCAGCTGTTTCATGGAGAAGTGCTAGCACTCCAGTACTTAGGAGCAAGGCCTTGATATTTGGCCTTTACTCTACCCAGGAAAATCCACCCACATTTGGCTGAATTACGAGCCTCTGAAAATTGCCATTGCACATGCTCCGTTAGAGTCTGTCAGCTAAATTCTCCGAAGATGGGGTCAACACTGAGCATGCTCCATCCTAGGGCTGCAGAAGCGAGCAGCCCGTTTCCTGCAATTGATTCCCCAAGGTGGTGCCAGGCCACCAGAACTGAGAGAGGGAGACTTTACTGTGCTCTGAATGCGTCTTCTGCTGGCAGTCTGGAGGAAAAAGGAGGGAGCAGCTTGACTCAAATGCAGATGGATGAAGACAGGAGCAAAGTAGGACAGGGACAAGGTTGGGGGGAGGGGGCAAGAAATACAGTGGGGACAGGATAAGAAAGGTCTGTAACTACTAGAACACACTCCCCTCCATAACCTAGAATAGAATCCAGGATTCCTCAGTCCCCAAATTCCTCTGCTGTCGACAAACAGCTGAGTGTCCCGCTGGCAAAATGCGTCTCTCTTCCCAGTCTAGTGACTGGCTGACCTAGAGGATAACAGCCTACTTCCACTACCAGTTACTCCATTAGCTTAAGTGGTATAGAGGTCTATGCTGTAGATCTAAAGATCCTAACCTTGCTGATGACCCATGTTTGGGGTCAGCGTGGTTCCACACGAAAGTACTCCTGATTTCTCAGTGGTTTTTTAATGTAGGAAATCACAACTAAAAACTACATTCAAAGAACATTACCGTTGCAAAGTCAAGCACTCAAAAAGTAGGAAAATGCCAGAATTAAAGGTGCCCGTGGAACCCTAATTCGGCCCCCTTTGTTCAATATGCAGTATGATTACAGACTTCAATTCCATGATCACATATTTGTTTCCACAGGATCCCTGCCTATTTCAGTGCACCGGCTGGACCTGGTCTGGGGAGGAATCAGGATGGTGGAGTGAATGAGACAAGGACATGCAGGAAGAGAAAGGATAGCCTTGTAGTGGAGTCAGCTGAATGCAGCCCTGGAGAACTGGAGTCTATCCTGGCTTCTGCTATAGCGTTCCCACGTGACACTGGGCAAGACACTATGGCAATAAGCGCCATAGAAAAGTCTATGAGGAAATGAATACCCCTGGATTTCATTGAATGCGAGGGTCGGACGGCGGGTGGGAAATAAGGCCTGGGACCACATGCTGAATGAGGAGGATGAAAAGAAATAATGAATGGCTGCCCATTTCATCCAGTGCACGGTGTGAGGCAGTCGTCCTATGCAATCATGTAATTAAAGACTGGCATAAAGCACACTCCCTACTATATACCCAGCATGAGTTACTCCGGGGTGTTTCCAGCCTGAGACGCATCAGGGTGGGGCACGAAGCTGCAGTGAAGCAGCTGCAGAGACCAGTGACGGCAGGCCCTGGGGGCCAGGGCAGCATGTGTCTCCATGTCTTTGCAAAGCCAGCCAGCTTGCAGGGAGGTGAGGCCCTGGGCCTTTGGGTGGGTAGCACCTCTAGGCACTCAGAAGGGCGGGGGAGGGGAGGTAAGCCCCAGGATTCCAAATGCCCCCTGTGCAGATCCTCATGGCATGCTGGAGGAGAGACAGGCCTCTGCTGTAAGAAATGCAAATAGGGATTCTCGCTGAGGCTTCTGGATGCCGGCAGACCCCGTGATTCTCTCTGGCACCCAGACTGACTAGCACAGCTAGAGTCACCACGCAGGGCCCTCCCTGGGTCCTGGCCTGGACTCAGCACGTGTGTACAGGGCCACTGTTCCCACTACAAAGTGCCTCGCCATATTAACAGCGTGGGTGGTTGCAGGTGTAGCTCTGTCTTCCTGTCGGGACACCCTTCCCCACAAGGAGAAGGAGCATCTCCGCCATTCAGCAGCTCAGAGGCGAGGCGAGGATTCCCCCGGGGTTGTGGCTCTTCTTGGAAGCAGCCAGCCCATTTGCAGCCATCCAGCAGCTCCTTCTCCTACCCTGGCAAGGCCCTCATTGCACATAGGGCCTCGCTAGTCACCCCCACCTGCCTGCAGAGTGACTCCTGGGGGGCACAATCCAATATTAAAGCCCTCCCCACTCTGTGCTAGCCCCGTCTCCCGTGGAGCCCACTGGCACCGGGAGGCTCGATACACTCTGTGCCCTCGGCATGACAATCAATCGCGACACCTCTAGCTGCCAAGGCTTAATCATCCTCACCGCTAGACTGTTCTAGCTAGGACTGCTGCCCGGGAGGCTGCAGACACAGAGCCCATGAGACTCTGCGTGCCAAACAGGGGAGCAACACAGACAAGAGGCAGCGCATGCAGACGTACGCAGCACCAAAAAGGGCATCAGCTAAATGGCCTGCGACATCGAGGGGTCTCGTGGACAGGACTCTGGGGGCGGCGGATAAGAAGCCTTTCCCCGGAGGTCACAGATTCAAAGCCAGGTTGCTCAGTGACCATGTGTCACTGCCATCAGATGGCACAATCTTGTGGGCAGAGGCCTTGATGGCTCTCCCTCATCCTTCATCCTGCAGCGCAAGTGCCCCTCCCCACTCATCGGTGGTGTGGGGAAGGGGCAGGAGATCCCCATGCACCGGGATCTGGAGTGGGAATGTGAGCGCCCCGGACAGGGGCCGCAAATGAAATGTGGCAGGCGTCTAATGAGCCATTAGTCAATGTCACCTGTGCCCGGCAGCTGATGGCAAGGCAATAAAAGCGGGGTTGGCTCTTCCAGGGCACAGCTCCCATCTCGCTTGGCTGGGAACAGCTTGCAAATGGTGAGGGCCCCAGCCCGGAGCGATCACCGAGGAAGCACTGGGGGGGCTTCAGGAGAGGTAGTGAGAGCTCTGCAGCACTCACACTAGCTGTGAGTGAAAGGATAACGCAGCTCTCTTGGGCAGGGCCTATCGGAGCCACCCCTCCACGTGGGCCTGCAGAGGTGGGCTAGGAATCGGGGCAGACAAGCTTTCCTTGGGGTAATTCAGTGGTTCTGCTTCCAGCCAGAACAAGAGAGTGAGTAGCGGCAGCGGATGATGGTGTCTAGGCTCGATTCGAGATGGGGTGAAGGGTCAGGGGCGGGGGGCTCTGGGACCATCCAAGCCAGCTGGCCCATGCCTAGTCAGCCCCCAGTCATATCACCGGCTGCAGTCATACAGAATACTGGGTTGAGTCCCACAGCCGCGATTCAGTCCTTGCTCAGGTGGCGCGGTCCAAGGAGCTCTGGCCCAGTAACGAGACCCTGTGCTTTGCCCACAGCCCCTTCCGCTGGAGGATCTCACAGTGCCCTTGCACAGCCGGGCCTGGGGAAAGCCAGGGACTTGCCCAAGGCTACTTGGCCGGTCAGTGGAAGAGCCAAGAACAGGACCCAGATCCGCCAGCCCTTCAGCTTGACCACCCTCCCAACAGAGAGGAGCTCCCTGCACCCAGGCAGCTACAGGCATTGGCATGGAAACGGGCCCACGCAGGGCTCCCTTCACTCCCTGCCTGGTGCGCTCCACTGCCTGCTGCACCTGCGGTTCCCCTGCACGCCAGTGCCTCTCTCTGCTGTTCCCCTCTGCCAAGAGCTGGAGCAGGCGGCAGTCTCCACATCAAAGCAGCCAGCGCACCAGGAGCCTTCCAGGGCCACCGGGAAGGCTGCTAACAAACAAGCCCAGCCTGGGAGGGGGTGTGACAGCTCCCCGAGGAATGCTGCTGCTCCTGCCTGACAAGGCTCTAAACTCCCAGGAGATGAGGCCCAACCCAGCCCCAGCTCCCTGGCGTCCCGGATCGCAGGCACAGCTGGCATTGCCCCGCAGCTGTCCTTGGTGCCCAAGTGAGGCACCAGTGTACCACTGGGGCAGCAGGGCCTGGCCTAAGGGGACTGGCCACAGGAGAAAGAGCCTTTCACATCCAGGTCACCCTGGGGATCCGGCCTCGGGGTGGCTTTCACTCTGACTCCCAGCAGCCTTGTGGCCCCCTTCCCCAGCCCTGGTTGGCCGTCTTGGCAGAGGGGCCACGGATTAAATGGGCTAAGGAGACAGCACATCCACGCAGGCCAGGGGAGGCACAGGAGTGGGAGAGTGAGGGCTTGGTAGAGAGACCTCTGCCACCAGGTCACCCCTGCCCCTCACCCTGGCACCAGACCCTGGGCACTACCTCCTGTTTGCTGGGCACTACCTAGCCACGAGCTTCACCTACACTCTGTCCTCTCCCTCGGCCTTCAGACCCAGTCCATAGACACAAAAAGGCCAATGGGAAATCTGATCAGCAGGCGTTCGGCCCAGAGCATCCAACAAGCTACAACACGTACCCACGGCTGCCCCCTTGACCAGACAAAGCTCTGCTGGCTAATGACAGGACATCCACATTTCCAATCGCCCCCTGCCCCGCACGCACTCCTCCCTGCATCCCGGCTCTCAGACTGCAACTGCCTGGAGCTCGCCCGGGAAGGTGGAGGGTAAAGCAGCTGCACTGGGGGCAGGAGGGGAATCCCGCCCGCCGAGTGCATAGATTGCCGCCCAGCACACAAACTGTGAGGGCCCAGTCCCACAGTCCTCCTACAGGCAGTTTCCAGCAGAGTCCATGGGAGTTCGGCCTGTGCAAGAACGGCAGGATCGGGTCCCAAGGCCCGAAAGCTGCCTCCTTCGCGAGAGGAGCCGAGCCACAGTGAAGAGGCTGGTCCCACGCTGCCTTGGCTTGGTCCAATGCGCTGCTGTCACTTCCTGGGACACCCCGGGTATCCCCTTCTCTGAGTAAAGCAGCAGGGCCCAGCTGTGCCTAGCGCACACGCCGCGGCACACCAGGGGATTGGCCGGCCCAAGTCTTGCAAGCAACACTGCAGCACACAGTCAGAACAACACGGAGATGGGGGGGGTCCCTGGGGTCACGCCCCAGAGCTCCAACCTCTGCTACTGCAGGCTCCCCCCATGCCCAGACAGCAAATCTAGCACCTACTTGTAGCTCCCAGGTCTGCGCCTTCCACATCCACGCTCTGCTGGCCGCGGTCAGAGCCAATCTCCTGGGCAGCTCCGTTCCTTGCACCTGGGCTCTCCCCAGTGCCCGCCAGTCGCTGTCTGGGCTCGCTGGCGGAAGGCTTCACAGCAGGTGTCTCCAGAGAAGAGGACAATGCCTGGAACAAAAGCAGAAGAACAGGGACTCAGAACCTTTCCCTGCAGGGATATTCAATAGCTGACAGCCAGCATCAGCTTCAGCACTAGGCAGCAGACCTCCCAGCTCCCTCTCCCAAGCCCTGATGCTCGCTACCAGCCTGGAGAAAGCAGGGTCCTCCTGCCGCTAGCCTGGGGGGCCTCGGGGTGGAGAGACACACGATGCTTTTGTTTTCTTTCAGGCAGATTGCACATGGCTGGGTAGGGGAGCTGTCTGCTGCTCACCAGCCAGCCAGCTCCATGTCTCACGGGGGCTACAGCTGGATCTGAGTGAGCAGTCCAAGCGCTTCCAGTCAGGACCAGACAAGAAAGGCTTTGGGGAGGTGGGGGAGGGAGGGCAGGAATCAAAGCAACATCCCTCTCCCTGCCAGTGGCTGCCGGCTGATTGTTCTGCTGCTGATTACTCAATGGGCCGGTATACAACTTCCCTCCCCTCCACTAAGACAGTGCGGTCACTGTACATGAGACTCCTGCTAAAGGGACACAGGGAGGGTAAGCGTCCTAGAGCCAAAGAGGATTTTGAGGCTAGAAGGGATTGTTACGATTATCTAGTCTGACCACCTAGGCCTGAGATTCTCACCCAGCGATTCCTGCATCAGGCCCAGTATCCTACGCTCAGCCTAGAGCATCTTTTTCAGAAAGATGTCCAGGGCCCAGATCCTCAGCTGGTGTAAATCAGTGTAGCCCAATAGACCTATCTGGGTCTCTTCCCCTTTATACCAGTGAAGGAGCAGGCTCCCAATCCAATTTAAAGACTCCAGGTGATACAGACACCATCACACCTCTAAGTAATCTGATTGAATGATCAACTATCCATTCCCTTAAAAATGTAGGTCTTGTTTCCAGTTTGAACTTGGCTGACTTCATCTTCCAGCCACTGGATCGCGTTATACCTTTGTCTGCCAAGTTAAAGAGCCCTCTAGTAACAAACTTCTTCTCCCTCCGTAGGTACCTCTAGACCGTGATCAAGTCGCCTCTGAATCTGATTACTGAGAGTGAATGGCCTTCACAACTCTCATTTACTTTACACAGCGGCTGCTGTTGGTTTACATTTTGCACTTCAGAGCGCGTGAAAAAGGAAACGACATTGGTCTGCTCCTAGTCACTTTCACTCTCTGGTCATAACTTATTCCATTTTCCGTTTCATTGTCTGAGACAGATCCACGGCTGGGGTGAAGCAACACAGAACACACGGGCGCTCCTTCAGCGGAGGATCCAGCCCTGTTTCTAGACCTTTGCAACTTTCTTTCCTCATGCAGCAGCTCCACACTGTTGTCCGTCAGGTCCCAGAGCTGCTAGGGGGATATCAACAGCCTGACAAATCTATCCACTGCTTCTTTATTTTGGTATCTGAATGAAAACATTTCTGTTTGTGCTCCACTGTGCAGAACCACTTCCCCTTCTCTAACACCTACCATGTTTGTCATGCCTACTGTAACTCATAATCTCTATTGTCTCAGCTCTGTTGTGTGCCCTTATTTGCTGCATCTGTCATCCTCTTGTTTAATGCGCATCTGAGAAAACAGTTGTACTGTCCTCAGTTCTTTGTATCTTTAATAAGTGGCAGTAACTAAAGCAATCCATATTCTAGCTCCATAACTGCATACACTTGTGCTGGAATGGATTTTTTCATCTTTGAGACAGAAATGCAATAAAATAGTACTCTAATTTTATTTAACATAACTGCCCCCATTGCTAAATGTCTGGATACATGAAACCTATATACCAAACCCAGCACTTTCCACAGTGACAGGCTTTATGGAGCTGCACAGAGCTATTCTACAGACTCTCCCTGACAGACAGACCAGTCCTGTCTCATTAGCTTCAACTTGGGCATATTAAAAAGAGAGCTAGAGGAAGGCAGAGGAGACCAGCTGAGAGAAGAACCCCATGATCAGCCAGACAGTGGTTTAAGTTTATAAACTCAGTCTTGCCTGTGTCACCCTAGGAAGTTGGTGAACATGGCCCAGAACCCACTGTGTATGTGTGATTTATGGAGAAGGATGTGACATATTGACAAATGCGGTCCAACCAAACTCAGCCAACTGCACCAATCACCCACAGAACTCAGCTATCCCACTAAAGCCAGAGGAAAGAGGACAGCCTTGCACCATGGACTATTGGACCAGCAAACTCAGGCCCTGCCAGACCAGCCACAGAGAAATTCCCCAGCTGAAGGTTTGCTCCCCCACATCCTAGTAAGAATGTCCTTCTCCTTGCTCCAGGCTACCAGATCTGTCTCAGTTGATCTTAACCAGTGGGAGGGATCATGTGCAGAGCAAAAGACCCAAGTCACACAGACAGCGAGCCTCCCAGCTCATACAGACAGACTTGTGGTACCGGGGTTCACACTAGCTTGCTGAACGGAGCTGTGTGGACGTTGCAGGGTGGGCTAGCCACCTGAGCTCAGGCCCATCCTATCCCTTGGCTGGCTCCATGCTCGGAGCTAGCCAGAGCCTCCGCCGATGCCACAACGTCCACACTGCTATTTTTAACTAGCCCCACTAGCGTCTGCCTAAGCAGGCCAGGAGGCCCTGCCGTGTAGACGTACCCATTGGCGAGCACTTCGGGTTGCGCTCGGGTCTGCAGAGAACAGGTGTCATGTTCTCTGTAATGCCCAGCAAGTGCACGACCGGTACCCCAGAGCTGGCAACACAGTCGCAAGCACATGCAGCTGCCATGCCAGGCAAAACATGGCACAGTGTGACACACCCCCAGGCATGGGAACCTGCTGTACTGAGAGAGGACTAAGCCTCTCTCAGCAGATCCCCCAGCAAAACAGTAAATCCTTGTGTGAGACTTGAACCCAGACCTTCCCGCCATGTGCAGCTAATCAAGCTCCACCCAGCCCTGATTGTTACCAGCCCCTTCCTGCCCTGGGATTCCAGAGAGGATGCAGCTGGGCTCTGTATGCTCCAGGACTTGGAAAGAGGAGAAAGGGGCTGTGACCAGACAGACTGGAGAGGTAGTCAAAGCAGGAGGCTTTAGGTCAGGGAAGGAGCCTTTTGATGGAGCCAGACAGGCCTGCAGTAGGGCCCAGCGGATGGGTGCAGGGGGTCCCCACTCCAATTTACGAGCACTAAGGCCAGGGCTGCTGTGCAGAAAGGATTTTATGTTGATCCAATTTTTCGACGGCTTAGTCCTATAAAACTGGGAGCGTCTAAGTAAGATGAATGGTACATGAATTTTGCTGGGAAGCTCTTAGAATCAATGAGCCACACATGTGAGCAGACGTATAAATTTACCATTCGTTTCCTGGAAAGGTTTAATTTATGGAATCCATATGGTAACGCTGCACAACCGCGAGCGCTCGACAAATCCCACAAGCCCTCAAGTGGCAACACTTACTGACTCCAACTGGCAGCTTTCCACCAATTGCCCAGTCGCTCTGAGCGAGGCCGGGGAGAGGAGAGGCTGGCAACTTTGCCACCACACAAGATCTGTTAGGCAGCCAAGTGGCCATGTCCTGCCTAATCTCTGCCAGGGCGCGCCACGGTCCCCCAGGGCTAGTTAAGGGAAACATGGGTGTAACTTTGTGCTGTTTCTTCTCTTTTGCAATTATTAATAGAAAGTGACTCTTTCCGCATGGCGGGGCTGCTTGCTGTGTCAGGTTTTCTACTGCATGGCCTCCCCTTTAATTGGGCACCAGTGGCAGCATGAGCGTGCAGAGCCTTACAGGGAAGGCTGTGGGCATACGCAGGAGAAAGGGTGTGTCAGGACCTGTCCCCTACAAAGGGAGTCTTGGGACTACTTAACACAGATGGTAACAGGGCCCCTCTCCTCTAAGCAGAATCTCCCTTCATTCCTATGGGTCAGGGGCCTTGTCTGCCTTGGGGATCCCAGCCAACAGGGTAGCTGCATTTGGTGTAGCCAGGCAAAACCACGGTTTGCACCAGTTCATCTTAGCCCTGCACGAAGTCAGGACAGACGATGACTATGCACTAGGGGTTTGCACCAGCAAAGCTAACCTGGTGACAGGCCACTGATGGCTGGAATTAGGGCAAATCCGCACTGCAGACAAGCCCTTAGAATATGGCCAGCAGGCGCAGGGTCTGTGCCAGGGGGCCATGGCTCCAATACAACGCGCAATGCCCCATGCAGCAGGGCAAAGACAGACTCTAGCCAGCACTGCAGGTTTAGGCTGCATTGCATGGCTGTGGCACAACCCAGGAACTCATCTGCTCAGGGCGAAACCTCACGTCAGATACAACATCACACTGTGTCCCTAATGTCCCTTTGAAAGAGTGAGGTCTGAGTGTGAGGGCATCACGCTACAGCAGATCCACCCAGTGCAACGCAAACACCATCCACTGTCACATCCCAGGGGTACAACACAGCCCAGAGAAGACGCTGCGAGCACCCTGCCGGACATGCTTGGGGACACAGGCTGGCCAGGATCTAACCAGTACGGCTCAGACCTCTCCTGGCAACAGTGCATATGATTTGCAAACCTGCCCTAGGCACCTTATGCAACAACCTGCGAGACACACGGAGAAGGATTAAAGCACATCAATGCAGCAAGCTACAGGCCTACAAATCCCAGAGATAAAGGAGGTCTCATGCTCTCAGCTCTGCTGATTTTTGATCATGGGCTTGATCCAGCCCGCTGCTGATCCATGAGAGGACCTTCCCTCTTATCCCAGGACTGCTTACTTGGCTTAAGAGACTTGGGTGAGGGACCTTGTCAAAGGCTTTTTGAAAGTCCACCTACAGTATATCCACCGGATCAACCTTGTCCATATGCCTTGTGACTGCCCTCAAAGAATTCTCATAGACTGGTGAGGCATGATTTCCCTTTACAAAAGCTATGTTGTCTCTTCCCCAACATATTGTGTTCATCTAAAGTGTCTGGTTGAAACTATCGTAAAGAACAGAATTATCAATTTGCCCGGTACTGAGTTCCCGCCCCAATAACAGGAGGGGTTATGTCAAGGGCTCCCACTGCCACAACAGGCAATTGCAA